ATCTCGGAGCCGTTCTGGAGCCGTCGCAAATGCCTCCAAAACCATCTCAAAAATCTACAAAGGCCGTCTTGGGGCCCTCCTCGGGTCCTCGAGAGCCACCTGCAGGGGCATTTCGGTCTTCCGGGGCGCGCCGGAATCGTCGCGGGGGTTTCTTGGCACTGTCTCGGTACCATCTTGGGGCGTCTTGTGGGGACGCCCTTTTTTCTAGGTTCGCTTGACGAGCCTCTGAGGTATCACGCGGTCTCTGACTGCGCAGTGCGAAGCGGTCAGCGTCTCTGAGTCATCATAGGGGCATTGCCCTAGCTACTGAAACTGCACTGCAAAGCTTGCGCGCGGTGGCATGACACGAAAACTGTGGCATTTGTGCTCATGTGCTTTGCACTCAGCTCTCTCTCTCTCTCTCTCTCCAAAGTTCGAAGAGCCTGACCAATGATGACTGAAGGGTGCAGGCCATGGGGCATCAGGGAGGTCAAACAACGCTCTACCATCGGCAAAGTATGTGCATAGATATATACATATAGAGGGATATGTATGCATACATATTTGTGTGCATGCATAGACTATGTATGTGTGCGTATGTATGTTTGTATGTATGTATGTATGTGTGCATGTATGCATGCATGCATGCATGCATGCATGCATGTATGTATGTGTGTATGTGTGTATGTGTGTATGTATGCATGTATGCATGTATGAATATGTGTATGTATGTATGTATGTATGTATGTATGTGTGTATGTATGCATGTATGTATGTATACAGGTAGGTAGGTCGGTAGGTAGGTGTATGTGTAGGTGTATGTGTATGTGTATGTGTTTGTGTATGTGTATGTGTATGTTTGTATGTTTGTATGTTTGTATGTTTGTATGTTTGTATGTATGTATGTGCGTACGTATGTATGTATATATGTGTGTACGTACGTATACATGTATGTATGCATGTATGTATGCATGCATGCATGCATGTATGTATGCATGCATGCATGTATGTATGTATGTATGTATGTATGTATGTATGTATGTATGTATGTATTATGGATTTATGTATGTATGTATGTATGTATGTATGTATGTATGTACGTGTGCATGTATGTATGCATGCATGCATATATGTAGGTAGGTAGGTAGGTAGGTAGGTAGGTATATGTGTGTATTATGTGTATGTGTGTATGTGTATGCATGCGTGTATGCATGTATGTATGTATGCATGCATGCATGTATGTATGTATGCATATATGTATGTATTTATGCATGCACGTATACACATATGTGTATATATACATGTATGTGTATATATATATATATATATATATATATATATATACAAATGTATCCACCACCGTGCCGCGAGGCAGACTCCTCCGTCCTCGATCCTGAGAATTCTTCAAGGCGCCCGCAGCCGCGAGTTCCAAGCGCTCTTAAGCGTTCTTGGACACATTGGGGGGAAATTCCCGCATATCTTTGTCAAGACGGAGCAAGAAACCCCCGATATCCCTCCAAGACGGTCCAAGAGGTTTCAAGACGACCCGGAAAACAAACCAAACAACCCTCTCACCCCTGAAACTGAACTGTCCCGAAAATAACACAAGTTCCAAAAGATAACGCTTCCTTTTCCTCCTTCCTCCTCGTCCCAACCGTCCTCTGGAGGATGAGGAGTTCTCCTCCCAAGCTTTGAGTTTTTGGTTGTTGAAAACGCTTGCAAGGACGAGAAGGGTTGCTCTTGGTTGTTTCTAGTGCTGTTTGGCACTTCTGAGGCGGGAGACTGGTTTGGGACGTTTTTTCTTGGGGGGGGGGCTTCCTATTGACTGATTCGTTCTGGGACCTCTCGGGCGGGAGTTTCCTTTCAGTCGAATTGTTTGGGAATCTCTCGGGCGGGAGCCTCCTCTCGACCAGTGGACGTACAGAAAGAGGAGGAGGAGGGAGGGTAAGGAGAAGATCTCCTCTGGAGTCTTGTGTTTGGATCTTTCGGTTGGAACAGTGGCGGGATTTAGAGCGGTCGCTCTCTTTGTTGTACGCCTTGACCTCTCAGGCGGGAGCCTGGCGTTGGAGGCTCCTATGCTGGGGCCCCTCGAGCGGGAGCTTCCCTTTGCGCGAGTTGTCTTGAGACCTTGCAGACGCGAGCTTCCTTCTGAGTGAGTTGTTTGGGGATCTCTCAACAGGGAGCCTCCTTTTGAATGAGTTGTTTGGAGACCTCTTAGCTGGAAGATGTCCCTTCAGAGGGTTATTCCTCCCCTCTGTGTCTACATCTGCACGCGCATCGGTCGCAAACTAAGAAGCGAAGAAGGAAGACAACGAAAAAAGGCAAGTGAGGTGAATCTTGGTAGGAGGGTTCCATGTATTCTTATATCTGTATGTGTAAGTACACACATATGTCATGCGGGACGGATATTCATTCATGTCCCGAAATACGTCCGTTCGTGAGTTGATTGTACGTCCAGCTTACATAAAACATGATGTCTCCCCCAAATCCTTCTCATCCGAATGATGGTCTACCTAAGACCAAAAGGCGTGTTAAAAATCAGAAACACATTTAAACAGGAGCAGCCAGGCAATGATACAAATATAAAAAAGAAAACACAGCATGTTTGGCTTGCCATGGACATTCCATGGTTGCACTCAGCTCGTCGTTACACTCAGCTCAACTCCTTCTTCTGCCAGTTGAAGCTGGCAGCCTGGACGGAGGACTCGCCAGTGTAGCCGAGCTTCTCCTTCCAGCCAGGGTAGATCTGGTCCGCATCCTTCTGGAACGTCAAGAACGCGCCCTTGAGCTCCTCGTGCGTCTTCGCGTACTCGACGACACCGTCCGACAGGCTCACGTCGCCGTAGGTGCCTGCCTTCCACAGCTTCCACGACTCCTCGCCCTGGGCGCACGAGATCGCGCCCTGCTTCGGCCCGTCCTTGTGCCCGAAAGCCCCACCGCCGGCCGTCAGGATCACGTTGGAGTGACCCAGGTTCTCGAAGAACGCAGGCAGCCGCAGGGCGTTCATGCCACCCGAGATGATCGGTGTGGTCTGCTTCATGCCCTCCCACTCCTGGCGGTAGTACGGGCCGTCGGCGACGTCGTCCTGCAGCATGAAGCCGATGTTCTTGTCCGAAGCATCGCCCTCCATCTTGCCGAAGCTCATCGTGCCCGTGTGGATGCCGCTGGCACCGATGACGCGCGACAGCTTGGTGTGCACGAAGGCGGTGTACCCACGCTGCGTCTGAGGGCTGGTCACTGCGCCGTGGCCGGCGCGGTGGTAGTGCAGAAACTGCTTCGGGAAATTGCGGCGCGCAACGGTCACCGCAGTGCCGCCAGCCACGTATCCGTCTACCAAGAAGGCGCAATTCTCCGCCATCGGGCCCATCTGATTCAGGATGTACTTGGCACGCGCGATCATCTCGTTGGGGTCGTCCGCCGTAATGTTGGCGGAGAAGAGCTTGCCCTGGCCCGTTTCCTCCTGGGCCGCGCGCATGGCCTTCACGACTTCGGGGATGCATTCGTTCATCTGGCAAAACGTCTGGTTGCCCTGCGGCTCGTCGTTCTTGATGAAGTCGCCGCCCTGCCAGAAGCCATAGCACGCCTGGCCGAAGGGCTTCGGCTGCAAGCCGAGCTTAGGCTTAATGATGGTGCCGACCACCAGCCCACCGCCGACGGTGCCGCGGCCCAGGATGCGCCACATGTCGATCACGCAGCACGACGGCCCGTCGAATAGGCGCAGGTACTGCGGCGGGAAGTAGATATCGTAGATCTTGCCGTAGTCGACGTCACCCATACCCTGGTTGTTCCCGATGCTGAGAGTCAAAACGGAACACATCATTGCGCGGCCATCGGTGATGTTGCGGTCGAACAAGGCCGTCGGGTAGGCGATCTTCATCTCCTCGTTCTCCGGGTCAATGTAGTAAACGAGCGCGTCCACAGTCTTGGTGAAGTCGTCGGTGGTGCACACGTTCACGTTCGTGCCGGTGGAGGACTCCGCCGCGAAGTGCGCCGCGGTGGCCAGGTAGTCGTAACCCGCCTTGGGCTTCATGATGTAGGCCACCAACACGTGCTGGCCGTTCTTGATCAGGTCCTCCTCCGTCAGCGAGAGGTCCGCGTAGCGGCTCGACTGGTCCAAGGCACGGCGGGCCACGGAGCTCGCTTTGCGAGTCGTGCTGGCGCCAACGAACGCCGCGGCCAAATCCTTCTTCTGCCAGTTGAAGCTGGCGGCCTGGACGGAGGACTCGCCGTGTAGCCGAGCTTCTCCTTCCAGCCAGGGTAGATCTGGTCCGCATCCTTCTGGAACGTCAAGAACGCGCCCTTGAGCTCCTCGTGCGTCTTCGCGTACTCGACGACACCGTCCGACAGGCTCACGTCGCCGTAGGTGCCTGCCTTCCACAACTTCCACGACTCCTCGCCCTGGGCGCACGAGATCGCGCCCTGCTTCGGCCCGTCCTTGTGCCCGAAAGCCCCACCGCCGGCCGTCAGGATCACGTTCGAGTGCCCCAGGTTCTCGAAGAACGCAGGCAGCCGCAGGGCGTTCATGCCACCCGAGATGATCGGGGTGGTCTGCTTCATGCCCTCCCACTCCTGGCGGTAGTACGGGCCGTCGGCGACGTCGTCCTGCAGCATGAAGCCGATGTTCTTGTCCGAAGCATCGCCCTCCATCTTGCCGAAGCTCATCGTGCCCGTGTGGATGCCGCTGGCACCGATGACGCGCGACAGCTTGGTGTGCACGAAGGCGGTGTACCCACGCTGCGTCTGCGGGCTGGTCACTGCGCCGTGGCCGGCGCGGTGGTAGTGCAGAAACTGCTTCGGGAAGTTGCGGCGCGCAACGGTCACCGCAGTGCCGCCAGCCACGTATCCGTCGACCAAAAAGGCGCAATTCTCCGCCATCGGGCCCATCTGATTCAGGATGTACTTGGCACGCGCGATCATCTCGTTCGGGTCGTCCGCCGTAATGTTGGCGGAGAACAGCTTGCCCTGGCCCGTTTCCTCCTGGGCCGCGCGCATGGCCTTCACGACTTCGGGGATGCATTCGTTCATTTGGCAGAACGTCTGGTTGCCCTGCGGCTCGTCGTTCTTGATGAAGTCGCCGCCCTGCCAGAAGCCATAGCACGCCTGGCCGAAGGGCTTCGGCTGCAAGCCGAGCTTGGGCTTAATGATGGTGCCGACCACCAGCCACCGCCGACGGTGCCGCGGCCCAGGATGCGCCACATGTCGATCACGCAGCACGACGGCCCGTCGAACAGGCGCAGGTACTGCGGCGGGAAGTAGATATCGTAGATCTTGCCGTAGTCGACGTCACCCATACCCTGGTTGTTCCCGATGCTGAGAGTCAAAACGGAACACATCATTGCGCGGCCATCGGTGATGTTGCGGTCGAACAAGGCCGTCGGGTAGGCGATCTTCATCTCCTCGTTCTCCGGGTCAATGTAGTAAACGAGCGCGTCCACAGTCTTGGTGAAGTCGTCAGTGGTGCACACGTTCACGTTCGTGCCGGTGGAGGACTCCGCCGCGAAGTGCGCCGCCGTGGCCAGGTAGTCGTAACCCGCCTTGGGCTTCATGATGTAGGCCACCAGCACGTGCTGGCCGTTCTTGATCAGGTCCTCCTCCGTCAACGAGAGGTCCGCGTAGCGGCTCGACTGGTCCAAGGCGCGGCGGGCCACGGAGCTCGCTTTGCGAGTCGTGCTGGCGCCAACGAACGCCGCGGCCAAATCCTTCTTCTGCCAATTGAAGCTGGCAGCCTGGACGGAGGACTCGCCGGTGTAGCCGAGCTTCTCCTTCCAGCCAGGGTAGATCTGGTCCGCATCCTTCTGGAACGTCAAGAACGCGCCCTTGAGCTCCTCGTGTGTCTTCGCGTACTCGACGACACCGTCCGACAGGCTCACGTCGCCGTAGGTGCCTGCCTTCCACAGCTTCCACGACTCCTCGCCCTGGGCGCACGAGATCGCGCCCTGCTTCGGCCCGTCCTTGTGCCCGAACGCCCCACCGCCGGCCGTCAGGATCACGTTCGAGTGCCCCAGGTTCTCAAAGAACGCAGGCAGCCGCAGGGCGTTCATGCCACCCGAGATGATCGGGGTGGTCTGCTTCATGCCCTCCCACTCCTGGCGGTAGTACGGGCCGTCGGCGACGTCGTCCTGTAGCATGAAGCCGATGTTCTTGTCCGAAGCATCGCCCTCCATCTTGCCGAAGCTCATCGTGCCCGTGTGGATGCCGCTGGCACCGATGACGCGCGACAGCTTGGTGTGCACGAAGGCGGTGTACCCACGCTGCGTCTGCGGGCTGGTCACTGCGCCGTGGCCGGCGCGGTGGTAGTGCAGAAACTGCTTCGGGAAGTTGCGGCGCGCAACGGTCACCGCAGTGCCGCCAGCCACGTAGCCGTCGACCAAGAAGGCGCAATTCTCCGCCATCGGGCCCATCTGATTCAGGATGTACTTGGCACGCGCGATCATCTCGTTGGGGTCGTCCGCCGTAATGTTGGCGGAGAACAGCTTGCCCTGGCCCGTTTCCTCCTGGGCCGCGCGCATGGCCTTCACGACTTCGGGGATGCATTCGTTCATTTGGCAGAACGTCTGGTTGCCCTGCGGCTCGTCGTTCTTGATGAAGTCGCCGCCCTGCCAGAAGCCATAGCACGCCTGGCCGAAGGGCTTCGGCTGCAAGCCGAGCTTGGGCTTAATGATGGTGCCGACCACCAGCCCACCGCCGACGGTGCCGCGGCCCAGGATGCGCCACATGTCGATCACGCAGCACGACGGCCCGTCGAACAGGCGCAGGTACTGCGGCGGGAAGTAGATATCGTAGATCTTGCCGTAGTCGACGTCACCCATACCCTGGTTGTTCCCGATGCTGAGAGTCAAAACGGAACACATCATTGCGCGGCCATCGGTGATGTTGCGGTCGAACAAGGCCGTCGGGTAGGCGATCTTCATCTCCTCGTTCTCCGGGTCAATGTAGTAGACGAGTGCGTCCACAGTCTTGGTGAAGTCGTCAGTGGTGCACACGTTCACGTTCGTGCCAGTGGAAGACTCCGCCGCGAAGTGCGCCGCGGTGGCCAGGTAGTCGTAACCCGCCTTGGGCTTCATGATGTAGGCCACCAGCACGTGCTGGCCGTTCTTGATCAGGTCCTCCTCCGTCAGCGAGAGGTCCGCGTAGCGGCTCGACTGGTCCAAAGCGCGGCGGGCCACGCTGGCGCGTGCCTCGCGGACCGGGACGACGGACGCGGCCTTGCCAGCCGCCAGCTTGTTGGCGCGACCGCGGCGCTTGGACCCCACGGCCGCAGCGAGGGCGGCGCCGGCCGCCGGCGCTGCCAGGGCCGCCGCTCCCCCCGAGGGGCCGGGCTGGGCGCGCGCGGCTCCGCGAAGGGCAGGGGCCGCCTGCGCGGGTGACGCCTGGAGCAGCTCCTCGGTGGCTGCGCCGGGAGCGCCCTGCGAGGACACGAAGGACGGGCCTGGCTTCAGGCAGGCGGCGGCCGCCAGGCCGGCAGCGGCCGCGAGCGAAGCGCGCTGGGCCATGCTGGTGATGCTGCCGAGCCGATGGGGCCCGCGCGTGCGACAGAGCCCGAATGAGCCGGTACAACTTGGGCCGACAGGATGATTACAGCCATCGTGCTGCCATCAGGAATGCTGGATAAGGAACAGCGGGCTTCTCTGACCGATGCGAGCCTCGTCCACGAGGGGGCCCCACGGGGTCGGAAGAGCGGCTCGAAACGCCCCTCCTGAACCCCAAATCCGCCGACCCGGCGTGAGTTTCAAAGACCCTCAGAACAGCCTGAACCTCAATTCTTGAGCTTCAGCTCTACTGGGGGGTGGGTGCCGGGGTGGCTCTGCCGGGGTATGGGGGGGCGCGGGAGGGGGGGGGGTCGATGTAATTCCCCGGGCGGAATCGGAGCTCCAGCTCACTCCGGGACGGCCCCCTCGTCCAGGAGGGCCCCAACATGGGCCAAGTGGGCCCCGAGTTGCCGAACGATCGCTACAAGACGCCCAAGATGTCCCCAAGACGGCTCCAGAAACCTCTAAGATGCCGTCAGAAGCCCTGGAAAATGCCTCCCAAAGAACGCCCAAAGAAGCGAAAAATGCCCCATTCCCTAGGGGAAACATACAATTTTAGCACATTCGCCTCTTCGGCCTTCAGAGCGTCGCTGACGCCCCAAGAGAGCCCCATAACGCCCCGAGAAGCCGCCACGAGGGCTCCAAGACGGCCCAAAAAGGGCCCAAGATGGCCCAGGAGGCCCCCGTAAAGGCCCAAGGGGGCCCCAGGACGGGCCCGAGAGGCTCCTGAGAGGGCGCCGAGACGGCGGGAGAAATGCCGATGACGGCCCAAAAAGGCACCTGAAAAAGGCCCCAAAACGCTTCCAACTGGCCCCGAAGAGGCGCCTTGGAGCCCCCTAAAGGCCCCCAGGAGTCTCAAGAATGCATCCAAGAGGCCTTCTAGAGGCCTCCAAGCTGCCTCCAAGACCCCCCCCCGAAAAACCCCAAACTGGCTTACGTTAGCACGCAAGCGTCGCAATACAAAACGTTATTCCACGCTTTCACGTTTTCTCCCGTCTTCGGCGTCTTTCACATCCGTGATCGCACAAGGGCCCGCAGAGGACGGCGCGAAGGCCCCAGAGACCAAGACCGGTGACGCACAAGGCCCCACAAAGAACTGCGACGCAGACAGCTCTAGCACCAAGTTTTTCAGAGAGTGCGCCAAATCGGCGAGGTGTCAACCAAAAGAGGGCCAACGCCTGGCCCCAAAGAGGTTCCCCAACAACCGCCAAACATCTCCAACAACCGCCGAAAATCTCCTCATCCTCGTCGTGCTCCTCCTTCTTCCCCTCCCCCTCTTCCACTTCCCGCTGCCTCCTGCTCCTCCTCATCCTCAGCACCCTGCTACTCCTGCCCCTCCCCCCTCCACCCCCCTCCACCTCGTCATGATCCTCCTCCTTTTCCTCAACCTCCTCCTCCTCATCCTTCTCCTCCTCCCCCTCCTCATCATCATCATCTTCATCACCATCACCATCACCATCACCATCACCATCATCACCATCACCATCACCATCACCATCACCATCACCATCACCATCACCATCACCATCACCATCACCATCACCATCACCATCACCATCACCATCACACCATCACCATCACCATCACCATCACCATCACCATCGTCATCATCATCATCATCATCATCATCATCATCATCATCATCATCATCATCATCATCATCATCATCATCATCATCATCATCATCATCATCATCATCATCATCATCATCATCATCATCATCATCATCATCATCATCATCATCCTATTCCGTTGCCTCCATTCCCAATCCGGATCATCGTCCTCACCGCTCGCCGTCGTCGCCGGTCATGACCGCCTTCGTGCGCTTCCACCAGCACCGGAAGCGTCCCAGATCGGCGGCAGTGGCCGGAGGCCATTCCAATAGTCCTTATATCAGCGTTCTGACCGTACGGCCAGAGCCAAAATGGTCGCACAACTCGCGGGGGCGGCCTCCTGAGCCCCTCTTGGGGCAGGTTGGGGCCCTCTGGACGCCGTCTGGGGGCTTTCTAGGTCCGTCATTAGGGCGATCTTGAGCCAATTTGGGGGGCCTCTTGGGCCGTCTTGGGGCTGCAGAAATTCAAAGACGAGATCGTGAGAACCTCCTGGCAACCTTCGGGGAGTCGCTGGCTTCTGCGCCCGAAGGCCCTCTTGAAGCCCTCCAGAGGCCTCCTTGGCGCGTCTAAGGGCGGGGCCGTCCAGGGCGGTCCCGAGGCAATCGGAGACGGCGCGTCGGAGGGCGTCGGAGTGCCGTCCGCCTGGGGCTGCTTCTGGGCGTCTCGGACGCTCCCAGGCGGCCCTGGGAAAGCTCGCGGGGCCGATTGGAGGCGAACTATCTCGGGGTTTTCCTACAGCCCTCACGTGTGGGCCCTGGGGCGTAAAAACGAAGGAAGGGGGTGGTGGTGGGGGGGGGGGCAAGCGGTTCCGCGCGCGAAACGGCTCCACGCAAGGGCCTCGAAATCCCCCAAAACGACCCCACCGCAGGATCCGTCACCACATCACTGTGGAGCCTTGGAGGCCGCAACGGCCCGAGACAGCCTCGGAGAACGGCCCAGGTCCCGAAGCCGCGTGGCCACACCGGGCCCCACCGACTCACCACACGGTGCTGTCACTGCGCAGCGCGGGGGACTCCGAGCTAAAGGACCCCACAAGAACCGGAGGACGGGGCCACAGACTTCGAGGGGTCACATGTGAGTGCCTGAGAGGGGGGAAGTGTGCCGCCCCAGGGCTGGGGGCCCTGGGCGCCCGCTGGGGTGCGCACACATCGATCGCACGCGCTCGAACGCCTGACCTCGCAAAACTGCACTCTTTCTCTCCTGTCTCTCCCCCCTCCTCCTCCTCCTCCTCCTCCTCCTCCTCCGCCTCCTCCTTCTCCTCCTCCTCCTCCTCCTCCTCCTCCTCCTCCTCCTCCTCCGCCTCCTCCGCCTCCTCCTCCTCCTCCGCCTCCTCCGCCCTCCTCCTCCTCCGCCTCCTCCGCCTCCTCCTCCTCCTCCTCCTCCTCCCCCTCCTCCGCCTCCTCCTCCTCCTCCTCGTTCTCCTCGTCCTCCTCCACCAAGGCAACGCGGGCGCGCTCACGGGATGACTGCCGTCCGGACTGCGTGGGCGTCAGATCCACGGATCGGGGAAAGGGCCCCCCCGAAACAGTGGCGCCGGACCCGCTGTTCCGCGAGGCCGCGCGCCGATCCCGCACGGGAGCGGTGCCCGCCGCCGATGTGCGCGCTGCCTCAAAAAGCGTGCTTGCGCTCCAGCGCGTTACTGTGGAAAATTCCCCGCCCTCTTCCTCCGAACCCGGGGTTCCCCCCCCCTCCGAAAATTCCCCCCCCCCTCCCTGCTGCACCCCCCCCTTCCCCCGGCGAACCCCCCACCCCCCCTCCCCTAACCCCCCCCCCTCCAGAAAACCGGGGGTCACTACCGGTTCAAACCCCCCCCTCGGAACACCGTCACTGCCGGTGGTTCGAACCCCTCCTCCCCCCCGCCCCCCAAGAAAACCAGAAGAAGGTCACTACCAGTTCGACCCCTCCCCCCCTCCAGAAAACCGGCAAAAGATCACTACCGGTTCGAACCCCCCCCCCCTCGAAAACCGGGGGGGGGTCACTACCGGTTCGAACCCCCCCCCTTCCCCCCGAAAACGGGGGGTGTCACTACCGGTTCGAACCCCCCCCTCCCCCTCGAAAACCGGGGGGGGTCACTACCGGTTCGAACCCCCTCCCCCGCTAGCAAACGACTCCCGGTCCCTACCACAGTCCGCACCACATCCCCCGCTGCTGTTCCCAGCACCACCCCCCTCACCACAACTATCCCCACTGGTTCCGCCACCGTCCATACTGTCCCCACCAGTGCCCCCACCACTGTCGCACTGTCCCCACTGTCCCCGAAACTGTTCCCACCACGGTTCCACTCTCCCCACTTTCTCCACGGCCCCAAACCACTGCCCGACTGTCCCCGCTGTCCCCACTGTCCCACTGTCTCCTCCGCTGTCCCAC